TTCCTGCTGTATCTTCTATACATCAGATAATAGGTGTATTCTCCCTATTAAATCCTTTAAAAAGTGATTCAAGGTGTTAAAACTTCTTAAGAAAACACAGTCGTTGTAGCAGCTAAGCTAAAGAGAAATCCAGTCCATTGTCTTATTTGGCATTGGCCAAAGCACAGGTCTGGGGGAAAAAAATATATGTATAAACACTTGTATCTGGGGGCTGTCCGTGATCAATCACTTAACCCCAATTTAGGCTCTTCCTTGGTTATGAGGAGGTGCTCTGAGATTTTCTTTCAGTGAACTTGTCCAGTCAATTTCTAAAGGACAACTCCTTTTCTGACCACCTGGTTTTGGTAAAATATCTGCTTAAGCTAGATCAGGTTTTAGCTTTCACTCAGGATATGGACAGTAAGTTGCCTGATAACTGTTTGGTCTGAGATGTTGTGTGCATTTAGCATTTCTTTATTGGGCTTGTGTTCTGGTAAAGACAAACTTCTCCTGTCAGAAACTCCTTTTCTGAGAGGCAGGTGAGTAAATTACTTTAGAGCTTGATACCTCTTCTTCACCATTACTTTGAAGACAGACAGTACTTAAAAAAAACAAATTATGTTTTTATGGATGTTTTATGGACCATGGAAATGAAATCTGGCCAAGAGAGACCAAATGTGGTCTTGTTTGCAGCTTTTCAAATTAATTTAAGCACAGTACCTTCAGAATGAGGTGCACTCCAACAAAAAGAAGGAAGAAAGGAGTCAATGACACCGTGATCTTCGTAACTGGGGTTAGTTTCTATATTTTCTGTAAAGAGATAAATCAGTGGTCAGGAATGGTGAAACTTCATTTGGCTCTGTCTCTGCAGCATCTGCTCCAGCTTTGTATTTCATTTCTTGGACTCTTAGGACCAGGCTTGATTCTTAAGTTAATGAACTTTTGGACCTACATAAATGTGAAGGGAATATCCGTGTGCTAGCTGTGGAGATCTGGCTTAAAGCACCTATCCTGTGACCACAAAGTAGCTAAACACACATAACAAATGGAGAGTTGCTGTGCTTTGCCATGCCATGTTTGGCTCAGAAGTTGTAAATAAGATGCCTGGTCCATACCTGAACGTGGAGTGTGTATCAGCTTCCCCAGAGGGAGGCCCAGAGGTCCATCTCTGCCTGTATCCAGCAGCATGCGCTCACCCAGGGGTGTTTAAACAGGAAGACATACATGCATTGTAAACACAGGTGATTTAAAATAAACCTCAAAGTCTTCCTTTTTCTGTGTGAATGGTATGTAGCAGTGCTGCAGGTTTTGCATGCAACACAATTAAATGGTCCTGCTTCTCATTTTCTGAGAAGCAGACTCCAGCAGTTTAGCAGTCTTGTTAGTTAGGGCAGTGTGCTTTCTGTTCACGGGTGAGTGTAGGGTACCCCTTGGGGGTTGTTCTGTGGAGTATTGGGGCCCTCATTTGTTGGTCTGGGCCTAAAAAAATGTTCAGACCTTGGTAACTACCCCATAAGCTCTATGGGAAAGAGAGAACCAAATATATCAAAGTGCTTATGTGGCGTGTAGACTTCTTACAGCTGAGAAATGGTGTGACACACAGACACACACTTGGGATCTGTGGCTCTGCTCTCCCAGCTGCCAATGTCATGTCTCAGCAAAGGGGAGGTTGTAGCTTTTTTGAAATATATTTGGCAGTATGAGAGCTCATGATGCCTTTCTAGATAAGGCTGGAGTAACACAAACCCATGTTGTTCAAACATATTTCTATTTTCAGCACTCTGTCTTTATTGCTCATACCAAAGTCTAGGAGATAAAGCCAGAGTGTAAAAAATGCTTGTTCCTTTTTTCTTGTTCTGCTCTCTGTGTTTTGATTACAGAGATCTTGACTATATTTGATTTCATTACAGATAAATGCAGTTTTATTCATTACCATTTGCCATACCGATGGCAGGTATATAATGGGATCACCTGGAATGACCTTGCCATGATGGAGGACATTGAGAAGGCCTATTGTGACCCAAAAAACACCAGGTATAATGATGCTGGACTGCTTGCATAGAGTACTATTTTTGAGCCCCTGAGGAAAAGCTCTTGTTTTCTTCCTAAACATATCTGACTCAATAACTTCTGAGCTGCTCAGAAATCTGGCAGGATGTACAAATGAGAATTTTTCTTTTTAAAAAGACAAGTGATTACTTGGTAATACCACCCCATTTTTGTTCTAAATATAACACAAAAGTATATTACATTTAAAACCATATGAGGTAAAAGAAAGTGGGTGGAGTTTAGTATTTAGAATATTAATATTTCAGGTAATTAAGTTGAGCCTTTTAACATTTCACAGCTGGTGTTTCTCGATGTCTATTCCTTTTCCAATACTGCTAGTATCTAAATAATGTAACATTATAATATCAATATTGTGCCTAGAGAAATTTTATTACATGCCCTCTGTGTAAGCAGCCCATCTCTTTATTTTCTCTTTTTGTTTTTAAGAGAGTGCACTTTCCTTTTAACTCCCCCCTGAAGGCCTTACTGTAAACCACCTGGATGTGTGGGGGACCCCGAGTTTGGCCTTAATAAAATGGTGTGGTCATTTTGGCCTGTGCCTCTTCAGACAGCAGATGATTTAGATTTGCAACTTGACTAGGCTGCTGGATGATGCAAATCAGAAGATTCCCAAGAGGAGGCTGCTTTCAAAGTCTTTCTGCATGAGAGTTAATTTATCAAGCCTCCCATGAGTACGAGCCCAGGTGGCTTCAGTGGTGAATGCTATTTACAGACCTCAGAGCTGTGATCGCCTCCTCTGAAACCGCAGAAAAAGAACAAGGTGATAAGCTGCAGGTGCCTGCTGGCAAACTCAGTCATATACTTATAAAATTCTATTTTTGTACTGAGAAGAACTGTAACTAGGCTTATTTATTGCAGAAATACCTTTTGCCACATTGTATGAGTAGCCCCCAGACTCTGTAAAGCTGGCTGTGCAATATCTGGCTAGCGACTGAGGTGGCATTCAGTGTTTCATAGGTCAGTTTTGAGGCCTGGAAACAGCTGGCAGAGCTGCCATGCATGCTGTGGGAAGTACTCTTCTTTCAGGTGTAATTAAGTTCAGGCAGTCACCTTATATCAAAGAAAATTTCACCAACTTAAGCTGGAGATTAGAGAACAAAACATATACCGTGAGCTATAATGAACCTGAATTTCTCCTTACAGCATGGCAGATAGGAACATTAATTTCCAGGCAATGACTGCTGGTGGTTCATTGCTTCGGCGGCTCTCTACAGCATCATCAGTCACAAAACCCACATTTATACTGACCACAAAGTGGATTTGGTATTGGAGGAATGACCAAGGCCAGTGGATTGAATACGGAGAACAGGTGAGTCCACATCCTGTGCTTTGGATCACTGCTGAAGAAATGTGTGGAGCCTCTTCCCCCTTTCCCCTTTACTCAGCAAGGTTAACCAAGCAAATACTTGTGCTTGAATTTCACAGTGTCATGTAAAGCATTGAAGCTACAAATGTTCATAACCGATGTGATAAAATGATGACAGGCTGGAGGGGGGGGAACACACCTTATCTCCTTGCAGTGAGGTTCAGTGTGAATTATTGCCTTTCTGTCTGGATGATTTGTTACACCTGCTTTCCTGACAAAGACCTTGTTGTGAAACGCAGGAAAGCCCATCCAAAACCAGTGCAACTTGTTACAGAAATTTAATTTGTCTACATTTGTGTCTGTCATTACTAATTATCTATTTGTGTGTATGTTATGAGTGTTGGGTAATCACACTTTAGGCCACAATAGTTCAGGGTGGATTCCTCTTCGTCCTCTTTGCCTCTTCTTTCCCTCTACTCAAACTAGCTACCCAGGGTTTACTCATTACTCTTCTCTCTTTTTTTTTTTTTCTTCACCCCACCCAAAGGGAGAAGGGGACAGTGTGAACTCACCATCTTCTGATGTTATTGAGGATTTGTATCTAGCAGATCCAGCTGCCACCATACCTTTCAAGGCTGGCTTGTTCAATTACCAGCTGAATTTTAAAGGTACTCACTTATTTTAAATATTCTTATTTACAACTGCAGTGCTTTACAAGGACTAACTTGCAAGCTATCCCAGCTTTTAGAGGTCATGACTTCCTTTACTAACATTACCAGGTTTACTCATTAGAAGGGGAAGTGAGACTGTGATGGCCCAGAGGAAATTCCTGAACAAAAGTCACCTTCCCCCTTATTCCTTGATACTATCTGTACTCATGATGGATCAAAAATAAAAAAGATTAGCAGTCTTCTGGTAAAGTCACAGTTAACCTTAAGTAAAGTTAGTTAACCCTGAGAGTGGTAAAAATGAAGCATTGTTCTGCACTGCTGGTGCAACATTTAAAGAGCATGAATGACATAAGGGATCAAGCAAGTTAGGCTCAGGTTAAATAATGAGTTACAGGAAGGACACAAAACCTAGACAGGCTTTGTGCAGCTCTCCTTCAGCAGATAGAATTGACAATGACTATGCACTTTTCATTAATGAATGACTTTCATTAATTAATGGCCATATATTGTAGACTTACTCAAGACTTTTTCCTTCTCTTTTCTCCTCAAGATATGATCCAGACAAACGACTCTTTTAAAACTCAAAGACTGGTCCGCAGGCGACCAAAGTTTGTGTCTTCTGAAGATGTGCAGAAGATAAAGAAAGGGTAAATGATGCTCCTTTAAGTTGTTTTTTCATGTTTCAGAAGTAATTATAAGGCAAAGTGGTTGCCAGAGCAGGCAGTAAATGTGCAAATAATGCAGCTGTTGCTAAAAGAAAACATATCCATTTGACTGAACAGAAGCTATGTCACAAACTTCCAACTTGATGCATCACCTTGTTGATGGAGTACATGTCACTCCAGGCACCAAATCTACAGGCCTGGTTGTTTCTTAAAGAAGTGAGTAAAAGTGGACTGTGATAATGGAATGGCAGCACGCACAGGCCAGCTCACAGACTGAAATTGTCTCACATTTTCTTTGTGTTTTATTTTGTTTATTTTTATCTGTAGGAATTGGACAGCAGGGATGCTGCCAATTTCAATGTTCAGAGTCAGACTACATTTTCTAACACCTTTTCCGTCTGTTTGCAAACAGCGTGAGGGATTCTTCCATTCCAAACAAAACCTGCCCTGTCCACTGGGATCCATCTGCACAGCCTGACTTGGGCTACAAGGTATCTTAAAAAAATTTTTTTTGCCCCCAACCTCTTGTAATTCTGATGGAAAGGCATGATTCTCTAGGTGATCCTGCCCTGGCAGGGGGGTTGGTCTAGATGATCTTTCAAGGTCCTTTCCAACCCCTAAGATTCTGTGATTCTGTGTGATTCCAAGGAAGATATTGCTTAACTGAAGCAATTGTAACTGAATAGATGTGAAATCAGAGGAGGGATTTCTTGGGTGGTTGTGCTAAATATAATCTCCCATAATCTCCCAAGAGCTCCTGACAAAAAGTGCTGAATTCCCACAAACTTAATCTGCATTTTAGGCATCTATCTGCATGCAAAACCAAGCCTCAGTGAAATCAAGACAAAAAGATTCACTATTAAAATTACTTACTTTGGTGACTTGGTGGACCAGTTAAGCAAGGGGCTTCTAGGAAGGGTATTTCTTCACTAGAGGCTGGGCTGAGACCAAATCCTTTCTGTGTAAGCCATTAAAAAGCCACCCAGTAATAATACCTTATTGGCTGTTGGTGGATAAATTCTAGATTGGAGACCTAGGAAGAAAATCTCTGCGTGTTCTTTCAAGTCACCCAGTACTGTCACATAGACCACAGACAAACAGCCTCACGGGATGGCTGAAGTAGTCGCAGCAAATAGTATCTAAAAACATTTGCAGTGATCTCTTCAACAAAACAAAACAAACCCCTGCCAGCCCAAAGTCTGTGTTCCTAATTGTTCTACAAAGACCAAAAATGTGCAGGTATTTTTTAAATTACTAGTACTAGTGGTATTGAGAAGCAGTCCTTCTGAAGAGCAACACAGACTGTGAAAGTACTACAGTATGCTGAAAAAAAGGCTTTTCGGTGTTGCACTTGTCCTTTTTTTAGTGGTTTTGAGCCTGATTAAGATACGTAGACACATAATGTGGAGCATAAGAGGTTTTCCTTGTGAACTACCTCACAAAATCTTGTATGATGCTGACCATGTTCTATTGGCACAACTACCTTGATGGTTAGGGACAAGACAGAAGTAACATCTCGTTTCCAGAAGGAAACCAGAGGTTGATGGAGAACTCTGTTGCTATTCTCACTCTTTTAATATTTTATTTTCCCTAGTGTAGTTACATTGGCCCCATGAGGGCCAGAAAGATCTTACCTTTTAACTTTCATGGTCTGATTTCTGCTGTTCTGCTTTGTGCTGAATGTTTCATTTTACCTTGACTCTTGTGTTGGATTATGCCTTCCTCAGTGGAATGCCTGTATCTGGCTATGTGTGTATATAGAAAATTTATCTAAATACAGTTCTGATGAAAAATCAATGACTAAAATTTAAGTCAACTGCTCTGTACATTAGCCCCCTTCAAATATATGTTCTTCACAATTGGCAAAAACTCCTAATTTTTCAAGATTGTAGATTGTGTCAGTGAAAGTGTCTGGCACCTGCTGAATGAACTAACACGGAGATTGTGTGGAAATCTGGCAGCCGGACCTTTCGAAGATTAGGGCCTGTGGTATTTTGAGCTCTGTCAAGATAACAAAAGATACAGATAATGAGCTCTTCCCTCGGCTTATCAGCAGCTTAATTGATTGAATTTTTCAAAAGAATTCCAGGAAGACATATGGATCAGTTCCTTATAGGTCTCCGAGTTGTATGTACTTAACTTCTTATCTTATTTGCTCTGAAAATTTCAGTCTGAATTTGAGTTGAGTCCATTTTTTGGGGTGGTTCTGGAGTTACTGAGGTGTGAGAGGCTTTGGAATGCAATGTGCAGATCCACAGTATTGCTGGTGGTGCTTGTGGAGATGCATGAAATGGAAGGATCATCTTGTTTCTCAGAGCTCTGTTTGCTTGCTGAGTTGACACCTAAGAAAACCATCTCTTAACTTGTAAACCGAGCGCCTTTCATAGGAAAGGAAAAGGTAATTCTGAATCTAAATGTGACAAAGGCCACAGTACCTGTTGGTGCCAAAAGTGAAAGCCTGGGCTACATTCAATATTTGTGTGGGACCTTAAGCTTGTTTTTTTGCAGTAGGTTATATTGGGACTGGCTGGGATTCTGCATGCATGTGGTGACCATCGTAACATCTGACAGTTGCGACTTGACGAGTTTCCTTCTCTTCAGACATTGACAAATAATCCTGGCAAAATTTGCTGCGCTGGAAGTGATGCATTTTAAAAAGGAACACCTCTCTGAGATAGGGAGAAAGTAATCTTTGCTTAAAAAGAGCAGCTCTATGTTTTGGTAACCTTGCTTATTTTTTTTTTTTAGTGTTGCAGTGTCTTCATATGTAAGTCATTTAGAAGCGGTTTTATAGCAAGTAGAGTGTGTGAAATGCACAATGGAAATTGGTAACGCCAATTGGAAATGCAGTGTGAATTTCTCCTGTCTTTATTTAACAGATAAAGTGGAATTAGTAGTTGGTAAACCTTTTGAAAAGAAAAAATAATAATTAATAATAATAATAATAATAGTCTTGGAACTTCATGCTGGGTTTTAAATTTTATCTTTAAACTATGACTGAGAAATGTGTGCAAGGAATGTGTGGGTTTATATCAGGTCTTTGTGAGGCTGCTGAGTTGCTGAGTCTGTCATGCATGCCCACGGTTGCTGTGCTGTACCAGGAATGGGAGCTGATGCAATGTGAGGAGTCTATTTGTGTACTTCATAGTCACTCATTCTAGGTGGCCCACTTGTCACGAAGACAAACGATGCTGCTTCCAAAGCCTACGTTAACCAGAGGTCAAGGTTTGATACCACAGAGCACTGTTCTTAGAGGTGATTGCCAGGGCAGTGATTCTTTCTCTGCCTCAGCACCACCACTGCTTGATAGTGGGTTAGCAAATGCTCGTGCTCTCTAGGATTTTCTTTTTTTGATCTGAAGATGAAAAGAGCTAAAAAAAAAATCATGTTATGAAGTATTGACCTGAAATAGCAATGTGGTTTTACCCTTTATTAGCAGGGGAAAGAAGGGCAATCCCATGAAGGTTTCATGCTAAAGAGAATTGGCTTTGTTGGTTGGAGGCTGTCACATGATAAAATAATTGAAGTACCTTTCTTACAGGATTAGGCCTTGTATCGTGTTGCTGACCCTCTGTTTTACGCAGGAAGGTTACGGTTCCCCAGTAAAAGATGCAACACAGCAAAAGCACATTCATAGTCTAAATAAGAACTATTTATGTATAGATAAAAGATGTACTAGTGAAATGTAGTGACGTAAATTTCATCTTGTAGGTGGTGGTGAGCAACTGGAGCTGTGGTGTCACAGAGCATGTAGATAATAAATACTCAAATTGTTTTATGTGTTGTGTTGTAAAAGCAGCTTTGGAAAGTACGCTTGTACTAAGGCATGGGAAATTTCATTCAACCTTGTAAAAGCTTTTAAATAAATTCAAATAAATAATTCTTCCTTGTGCAGCTGACTTCTTTCTCAGTCCTTAGAAGACCTGCCTGTGATAGGCCTCTTTGTCAGTAAGTGCTTCGTGAACAAACTGGTCATCGTCTCCAGAAAAACACTATTTTTATGCAGCTGTAAAATACAAGTCCTATTTTCTCTCCTCTCTGAACTTGGCCTTCTAAAATGTGGAGCTTTTGCCTGACAGGTTAAGATGCTGATTTCATGTTACCTTCTAGGCTGACCGCAGCTTTCCTGCTGTTTTTTTTACGTGGGGTAATTGGGCATTTCACTTTAAGCCATCTCCAGTCTCCACTTGGCTTAGGCAGTCCTAAAATGGAAAGTATTACCAAGTGGCATCAGTCTGCCAGCATTAAGCATTTTCAGTCAAGTTTATAGAAGAGAAATGTTTGGAAGATTAAAGACACAGATTATTTTGGAGAAAAAATGGAAAGTCTACGCATGACATGAGCAAGCAGAAGACCTTGAATCATGTTTTAATTATGTTTTACCTTTTCTTTGGGAAGAGTGCACATTCCTTGGTGTACTTTCAAATACCAGGAGTGTGGATAAGCAGACTGTATCCTTTAGAAAAGGAGGAGATGTATTTGCATAAGCAGATATTTAGTGTAACCTTCCTCTTAGAATCGTAATTGTTTTCCTATGTTTAGAAGTGTAGCCTTTTTTTCTTAAATCTATATTTAAGTGCAACTTTCCAAGTTTTAACTTTGAGAAGTTAAGGAGTTATGATGTTGAGAAGTTGTATGCATTTTGTTTGTTTCATTTTTAATAGCTGAATCTCACTTATATGTCTGGTTACAGATGATACCGTTATCGAACATCTTTTGTTCTTAATCAGCTTTTTTAATAAAACTAATTTTATGTGGAATAATCAGTCAGGTTTTCTTCTTGAAATTACTTTTTCATTGACATGGAAAGTTACAAGTGTCAGTTCTTACTTGGAGATTATAAATATTTAATGAATTCTTTTGCTTTTAGCATCCTTCCTGAAGAGTTGAGGTGTCTTTGCAAACAGGAATGACATACTGATTAACATGTTGAATGTCTGTCCTAAATATTCACATAGTCACAATCTAAAGCATTCAATTAACCTTCATAAGTGTGGTTTGGGAACCTTCCTGAAAGTATATCTGCTGTAACTAGGCTTCTGCATATCACAAGTTAACTGAAGGCTCATGTCTTCTTTTGCTTTGGTTTATATTTTATAGGCAGTGATGATCAGTAATACAACATCTGAATACAACAATATAAAGCAGCTGTTTCTTCAGACTATGAGAAGCTACAATGTTCTTAAAATACAGAGGATTCAGAATCCATCCCTCTGGAAAGTGTTTCAGTGGTTAGTACTTGTTTTCTCATCCTTAAGGGGAGGGAGTCTCCCAGAGCTGATCTCCTGTACCACCACCTTAGGGAAGGAAAGATGTTACCAGTCATGCTAAAGGGCAGGTGATATTTCCATCTTAGGCATAGTTTCAGGAGTGAGATAAATTGTCTAAGGGCTTCAGAGAATGCCATGCTTCTGGGGAGGGAGGTTCCCTTTGCAAGACTCTTTGGAAGAGGAGGGAAGGGGTAAGGATAGAAAGACACAAAGGACACAGAATTGGGATGAGGATACCCACAGTGATGTGGAATAGCATATTGCCTCAGGGATTGAACAGTAACTGCCTACTGCACTCATCTTCTGTCTATTTAAGGTTTCTTCAAGAGTTTGAATACCCTTGTGCAATGAAATAAGGATTCACTGAGAAAGAATCCTTGTGTTTAAACTTAATGATCTCTGAGTTCCAGAGATCCTTTCTGGTTTCCAACATCTGCATCCATGATACTGAACTTCATGTACTTATGCCAAGCAGGGTACCAACAGAATTGAGCTGGTGCTAGTGACAATAAAAAAAAGATGTTGAAGTTATTTTGGTAGCAGATTAATCTGTTGCATAGAACTGTTGTCTAGTTAAAAAAAAAAAGCACAGGTACTTAGCAGAAGTATTCAAGGACTGTATGGAATGGTAACAGTGAGGAAAAATACTGCTCTGTTAAGTAGTTTCACCTGTGAAGTGACTGAACACAGGAGGCTATCAGTAATAATTTCATAAAACCTTTTTATCTAAGAAAACTTAGGACACTTCCAAGCAGGTAATAGTGCATACTTTTTATTGTTACTCTCCTCCAATGAGATAATTAAGCTAAGCAGGCAGAGTTTAGTACTGCCAAGTTCTCAGTGAGCAAATGTCATTCAATTGCTCTTAACTTTTCATTTACACCATTTAGAGGTTGGAAGGATTCTCCTCTCTTCTTGGCTCTGTTGTTTACTTTGTAGATGGTCCCTTACTGAAGAATATTACTGTTCTGTCTGCTTCAACAGCTTCTGAAAACCTGTGAGGTGTATGGGTGCTGTGAAAAAAAGTGATGGGAGACACTAGTTGAGCCTTCCATCAATTTCTTTTGATACTGGTCATAGCACAGTCAGACTCTGGCCTAAAAGTAAGGTTTTCAGTGGTGAAAGAGGGCTCAGTTTCTCTCCTGGCTCTGTCTCCTCAGCTGCATTGATCTCCTTGAGGGGCAGGAGCTCAGGTTATATGGCAGCTTGAGTTCACTAAGGGAATGAAGAAGCTGCCTTTAGCTCCTACCCACTGCTGGAGCATGGAGGGTCTCCACTTAGCACAGGTTCCACTCTGCGAAGAGTCTGGGGGTGGGAAGGGACAGAAGACACAAAAGCTAAGCTAGTAGGACCCAACAGAGGACCAGAAGGTTGGTACAGTGGAGATGGTAATTCTGTCAGTGCTTACTTAAATTAACTGAAGGAAGCCAGAATTATCTGGGATTGCTGGGTAGTGGTATCAGTATATTGCTCATCTTGTAATTGTTCATTGTACTGCTAGTCTGTCTCATCTTCCAAGCTAAGGGAGGAGAAGGCAGGCTGGAAATCTCATCCAGCTGACATTTACATGTAGGTTATATATGTTCCTTCCATGGCTCACACTCCTCTCCTGCATTTTTCTGTTAGGCAAAAGGAGCAGATGAAAAAGCAAAATGGAGGGAAGGAAGTAACTGAAAGGCTCCTGTTCTTTGGAACCAACATTGCCTTCATAGAAACCATCTGCATTCACAATTTTGACTGGAGAATTTGTGGAAGCAATGGAGCTAATTATGGAACTGGTAGGTAGGAAGTGACTCTGTGCTAGCTGTCTCCTTTGCTTGCACTAGTATCAGAGAAGTCTTAAGTTTTTAATTCTGTAACTATAGGGTGAAAAAAGAGGTAAGAATTGGTATTATGATCTTCCTCTGTCTGGAGAAGACAAAGATTTGCATTGTGCGGGGGTACATCTTTTCACCAGGTGTTAATGTAGGAATTTGAAAAAGCCCCTATTGCTGTAGGTGAGATCTTTAGAAGGCTCCAGGTCATAACTTGAACTTGCTAGAGAAACGGCCACTAGTCTTCATGGCAAGGAGCAAGAAGACTGTGCATTCCCTCTGTACGAATCTGGAAGGTCCTCAGGTTTTCCTGCCTATCCCTCTCATCATAACATACATACTTGTAGTGGTTTTGCAAGTTTTGGTCTTTTAAAATTTATTCCTAAAATAGTAAATTCTGAATGGAAATTATGTGGTGCAACCCTTTCTCTTGCAAAAAATGTCTTTGGTATTATGTAAACTGAGTAAAAGCAGACCTGAAAGTTGGGTCAGAACCTCCTGAGGAACAAGGGGCTGCTCAGCGCTTCTCTGTGCCACTTTAGGTCTGTCAGTGTCTGCTGTCACTTGGTGCCAATTCCTCATAACCATGTTTTCCTATCATTTTCTAGGAAGTTACTTTGCTAGAGATGCTTCCTACTCCCATGTATACTGCCAGCCTGCAGGGAAAACAAACACCATGTTCGTGGCTCGTGTGTTGGTTGGAGAGTACGTTAAAGGCAACGCAGCCTACGTTCGCCCCCCGATGAAGTCTGGTGACAAGCATCAGTTTTATGACAGCTGTGTGGACAATGAGTTTAGTCCCTCTGTTTTTGTTGTCTTTGAAAAAAATCAGATTTACCCAGAGTATACAATAGAGTATAAGAAGGAGGAGGAAAAGAAGGAGGAGAAGAAAGTGGAGAATAAGGAGGAAAAGAAAGAGGAGAAGGCAGAGAAGAAGGAGGAAAAGAAAGAGGAAAAGAAGGTGGAAAAGAAATGTATTGTGTCTTAGAGATCACAGCTTTTTATCTTTTCTGTTTTGCAGGTGTTCTTACACCTGGTGACCTCTTTTTTTTATATAGAGTCCTTTGGAATGTTAATCCAAAAACTTTCTGTATTGAGGAGAGCTGGCAAGTCAGATGTTGCATTTGTTGAGACTAATTGCCTTGTTTTCTCCTCTTCCTCATGTAGGTGTAGCATAGACATTTGCACGTTTGCATACCCACAGCAGAAAAATCAGTCATGGGATGGGAAAGAATGTTGCAACTATTGTGGGTAAATAACTGTAAATGCATTTTCTTAGAAATAGAGAGGACTTCTCTTTACAAACAATTCAGTTAAGAGGAAAGTTAACAGTCCAGTAGTTTTTAGGCAAACTCTACTATTTTTATTAGTCAAAGATTCTTTTCAGTACAGAATATGGCTGTTCTTGATCCTCTTGTCTATCACAATTTTAAACAAATCACTGTAGGTAAGAATGACTTGACAGTTTTTGAAGTGCTGTTTATTAGTGCTGGTACTAGCTTCAAGTTTAAAGTGGTAAAACAAAACCAAAAACAGTTTACAAAGCTTATTTTAAACCCACGTTTTAAGTTGTCAAGCGGAAAAGTTTCCGCTTTATGATGGCAGCTGCTGTTTGGATCAGAAAATTCCTGGAGTTGGGTCAGATTCTTTTTGCACATCTGCAGTAGCTTGCTTTGAGACCTATACAGAAACAGAGCACAAGTGAAACTGTGCAGATCACAACCTGTGAGTAAGCAGGTACTAAAACTCGGTGGTTTAGCTGCAACTGATGCCATAGGTATATAAAGGCCGTGTCACAGCCAACCAGGCTTTCAGCCAAACGTGGCCACGGATTTTTCTCAATATCAACGTTTGTTTAGCAAATGCTATAGGGCAGGAGAAACACCCTGAGAAGCACTGCTGTTTTCTGTCCTATTTGCATACATAAATTTTTGCAGTTCCAGAAATATGCCATGCCTGGAAGGGACCAGTTAGGCTCTCTCGGGGCCAGTGGTAGAACTGCTGTCCTAAGACACTTCATTTACGTGTTTTGTTGCCACTATTGTGTTGGGCAACTCACTGGGAACTCGCTGACAGGTGTAGTTTGTGTTTCAGGGTGTTTGTGGGTGATCCTGGATACTGCTTCCTTGGATTGTCAGTGATGTACAACCCTAATAATGGTGGCTAAGCCTTTTTTTTAATGATTACTTGCTTTTAACTGTCTTGAAAATATAGAAACTGTAGTGAGTTTTAATAAGGAATTTGTAAGTTAACCGAACTTGAAGACCCTCTGTACAACGATGTCTTACTCAGGCAGTCTAGCTGTTAAGGGGGAAACTTGCTGAGGACAGAGCAGCAGTGATTTCTCCATTCAGACAAACTTTACAGCAACACCAGTAGCCTCCCAGTTATTTGCATCTTTGATACAAACCTGTCAATCACATGTACTACTCAAAGTTTGCAAGTTACCAAAAGGAAAAGAGAGTATGTAAAACTACGAAACCTAATTAAAATTACTGTCTTAGAACTAAATGAAACATCAGTAATGCATTAAAAGTGGAAGATTTTACTACTTCTAAGTGTCTCACTTTTGTTTGCCTGTAGAGTTCCTGAATCCTTGAATTTTGCCATATATTTGCAAATAAAATGTTTAGATTTCCTTTTTTGCTTGCTAGTGTTTTGTCTCTGTGGAAGAACTTGTGGTAGAATCAGCAGACAGTGAACGAACCGCTTCAGGCACGTGCTGTGTCTTCCTTGCCATCTGTTTCTAGGCCAGGGAACTGCATGGATGTAGTTGTGCATCTTAGTGGAGATGCTTAGCTAACTATGAAGGATGGAACACAGTCTGATTCATGGAGAATGTTTCTGTAAATGAACTTCCTCAGATACCCTTCAGTGCTGTGGTAATTTGGTTGGATTCCATGCATTTAAACAGCTGCTCTGAGCAGCTGTTCAAGTCCTAAAACAAACAGGAAAAGAGTAAGGTGAAGAGCAGACCTACTGGTTCTAATATGCAGTAGTCAGGTACTGATTTATTTTAAGGTTGTACTTTTTTTTGTTATCTAGATCAGTGACTTTCAAAGGTTCTGAACTAAGCACCTGTGAGACACCTGGCTGTATGGTGACAATTTGAAATCAGTCCAAACCACAAAAATCTAGAGGAAGGACAAGGGAAAAATACAGGTACTCAGTGCTGTGCTTCACATTTTTCAAGAGTGCTTCCACAGGTCTGGCAGGAAATGCTGCCAGGTGGGGTACAACTCTGGTGCACTGGATATTGCCTGTTTAACCAGCGGCAGTGTTGGGACTGCAGATGAGGGCTGCCCTGGGGAAGGACTGGACTCTAGATAACTGAGCCAGAGAGGGAAGAAAGCTAGAAAATAACACATATTCTGAATACAGGAGGTTGGAGGATGAAGAAAAAAAAAGATCAGTCTTCCTCTGCTGTTTGAGCCTGGCACCAGGAACCGTGTGTGAGAGGAAAGGCGTGGTGCCTTGTGTGGCACCTCTGTAGCCACTGGTACTGTTCCAGGTCTTGCTGCAACAAGAAGAGCAAACCAAGCCTGTTTTCATCATCATGGACAGAATTATGGAAGTAATTGTGGTGTTTTTTCACCCCTAGTGACTGAGCAGCTACAAAAAGGTCAGCAGAGTCCTTGGTCAAGTTCTTTCTGTTCTCTTGTTCTTCCCACTGAGCAGCTTGTTAATTACTTTCCATAATGGTAAAATTATTCAGCATAGCATAGTGAAACAAGACAAGGTGGTTTGAGTATTTTAGATAAGTTGAAGGCAGAAAACCAGAAGTTCTCACTTATAGGCAAAATGTGTATTAGTTGAATGAAAAAGCTTTCAGTCACATTCATGGAAGCAGACAGCACACACCGTTACTGCTTCATGAATTAAGCTGAGCAACCCATTTAAAAACTTTACCCAAACGTGCAAAGAAGTCATACACTCACTGCTCAACTGAGCACATCTTTGAATTTATTGATGTAAAGCGGGTAAAATTCTCAATCACAATATGTAAAAAGTACTACATACGTCATTCTTAAATTTGTGTAGCAATGGATCACACAAACTACACACTTTGTGAACAGCCAGCAGATTTCTCAGGCTTTTGGTTCCCTAAGATTTGTTATATTCCTTGAGTAAAAAGTTCCCTAAGAAATTGCATGCAATGCACTAATTAAAAAATAACAGTAAAAATCTAGTATAACTTTAGCCATGATTGGAAAGATAAAGCAATTACACAGCTGAAGAAGAGGGAAGTACAACTGTCCACAAGATTGAAAAGGCTGCAGGTGAGGATGCAACACCCTGACCTACTTTCACAAATTATCATTCCTTTAAAAAGATCTTTTTTTTACCTCACATGAGGGCTGGGGGAAGAAGGGTAGCAGCAAGGCACATCTTACTCCTCCAGGCAAGAACTCCAGGAGCAATGCAGGGCCAGCCATGAAAGTGCTTTTTTAGGTCAAAAAGAAACTGTATGTGGGATGGGGCTGCTCTGGGACATGGAGAAGTGCCTGAGCGTGACAGGAAGGAGGGGCAGGTATGTGTGTGTCCAGGAGAGCTTGCAGATGTGATACCAAAGCCAGAGCTCGGGAAATTGAAGAGTATGGCATTTCTATTCAGGAATAATAAGGAGGCATTAGTTCAGTTTTGATTTGAAATACCCTTTCCCCCTTATTTAGGAATTTCTGGGTTAATGCTGCAAAATAGCTGCTATGCTGCAAGGATCCAGAGATATATGGCTCATATTGTGCCTCATTTGCAGCACCAAAGCTTGTCATATCACTTGGGGCATGATGAAGCTTTGTGTCAGTTCCTTAGCTCTCTTCCTATGGAGGAGCACCCTTCCAGTCTTTACCAGCTCTGAGATGCCTCTATAAAGTGTGTGCTTTAACATCAGTTTTAAACTCTACTTTTTCTCACAGAAAGGGACTCGTGATATTGAGATGGTAATAAGGCCTGACTTTCCAAAACCTGAGGTAAGCACAAAGACACCAGTCCCAACTCCCGTTCAGAGGCAATACTGTTTTAGCTGAAATCCAGGCTTTTCCTTTTTTTCTGAAAGATTTAAAAAAACAAAGGGAGCACCCATATTAGAACAGTTCTGGCCAGCTTGTCTGGTTTCATTCACTTAGTAATTCAGAAAGCTCTGAGGTGCTATACTGAAGGGAAAAAGGTTAAAATTTTTTGAGCAGAGGTGTAAAAACATGCCCCTGGAAAGAGATCCTGAATGCCGACAGATCTGTAATGCCAGCGTCTGATTCATGCCTGATTGGGCTGGAGGCTTGATATGGAATTGACTTCATGCCTGTAGTGGCTCTTGCAAATTGGGTCAATGAATGACAGAAATCCAGGCCCTGTTACAGTGCTGTACATCATCAGGCTCAGAGGGAACTTCCAGGGAAAGATACCAGAAAATCGGTGTCCAGAGATGCTTCAGAAAGCTGTGATTATCAGCAGTTCATCTTCCTACTTCCTTGTGGAATCACCTAAGATACAGCCTCCTGAAATACAACAACTTTCTACTTATTTTAAGGAAACTGTGGTCAGATCTTTAACTCATAAGGTACTCAGAGGGAAGGTTTATGCCATTGAATGAACAGCTGCTGCCTTCCTCATGAGTCGCTCTGTCATTGGTGAATTTGGTCTCATCACATCACGTTCTCTCAGGAGGCACCTGAGAAAGGAGGAGAGGTAGGAGAGAAATGGGAAGAAGGTCATGAGTACAACATCAGTTTTCCCCTAAGATCACCAGCAGCATCCTTGTGAGAGGAGGAAAACAGCACCTAAGGACCTGTTCCTGAGGTGCAGATTTCCCTTATTTGGTCTTGGCACTAAGTTTAGGCAGAAGAGCATTCTTTTCAGTGCTGAGAGACTGAAAATGAGCACTCAGAGATCAGAATGCACAAAAGAATAACTCTGATATTTTATCTAATTTTTATATATTTAAAAGGGACCTCAGGAGGGGAGCAGACAAGGTCCATGGATCCACTGTCCCAGAGATCCTTTCTTTTAACTGCACAGGCAGACCCAGTCAGCACATTTCAAC